TGCCCATCCGCTCATCCCACTCCGCCTCGCCGTAGCCGATCCCCCACCGCGCCACGGCCCATCCCCTGCGGCCTCCTCCACGCCGCATTCCCTATCGGGCTCAGTCTGCCTCACCCGCCTCCACCGAGCCAGCGAGCTTCCACGATGGATGCTCCAGCAAGCAAGCGAGGGGGACGAGATTCGTGTGACGCCGCGCCCGCCGGCGAGTTGTCCGTGCCACTACCGCACAACGAGCTCCATGCGCCGCCGTAAACCTCCGTGCCGGCGTGCCTGCATTCATCCAAGCAAAGCCCATGTTGCGAGAGTATATTTCAAGTGTTTCAATTTCATCTAGATGTTGCAACTGTTTCATCTTGATGTTACAAAAATAGATCAGAATATTGCACATATTACGGTGGCTATACACGTATGTTTCAAGTGTATATTCCATATGTTTCATCTCGTTTTCCAGACGTATGTTTGCATGTGTTTCATCAGGATGTTGCATATGTTTTCACACATATGTTGCAAGTGTTTTATTTGGATGTTTGTGTATGCTTGCAAATGGTTTCCAAGTGTTTTCAGGTGTTTTTTTTGCAAGTGTTTCATATGCATGTTTCAAGTGTTTCAGCTGTTTCGTATGTATGTTGCAAGTGTTTCATCTGGATGTTTCAAAAGTAGTTCTAGTGTTGCAACTAGTGTTTCATATGCATGTTTCATGTGTTTCATCTATCTTCAGACGTATGTTGCAAGTGTTGCATCCGGATATTTTAAAAGTAGATCGGGTGTTGCATCTCTGTCCTCGCTTTTTTGCTGCCTCACCTTCGCCTCGGTGTCTCCCCCTCCTCCCAGCGTCGGCTGGGCATCCGCCACCCCCTCCCCCTCTTCTGGATGCTGGCATAGCCACCGGTTGTAGTCACCTGCTGCAGCTGCTGGCCGCATACGCGTGAGAAGCGGATAGGGCACGAGTGGGGACTCCCCACGTGCAGTCGGGCGGCGCAGGCCCCGCGTAGGGCGGGCGCAGGATGCAGGTGCTACTGGGGGAGACGTTGTGCGGGCGCGAACGTCCGGCCGTGGACGTCTGTCTCGACGTCCGGACGCTGGCACCGCCGCTGTGAAAGCGGAAATCCTACGCTTTACGCGTGACATGGAGTTCCATATACGCGAATCGGGGTGTGAGCTGTAGCACACAACGACACGGAGCGAGAACCAACTCCAGATCAGCTCGGCGCATGCATTGCATGCCGTGAGCCCTTGACAAGATCTGCTGCGCCCAACGGGAACGGGACGAAATTAGCCAACAGTACTCCTATGCGCGTGATCGCGATGTGAGTGCGAGACTGCGAGTTGGGCACCGGCGGCTGGCCTATGCCTATTCTATCCCTGAACGGACCTCAATTTCCCATCATCCAGTGAATTTTCTTCTTCAACAAAACTGTTGGTGGTGGTCACAGACCAGGCGATGGTGGCATACCCTTTTGTATTCTAGGACCAGCCATAGAATAGCCCCATACTCCATCGAATCTTTTTTTTTTTTTGGGGAATACATACTCCTTCGAATCAACTGCGTGTGTATACACGTTCATCTTTTTTTAGATCCTGCATCTGAAGCACCGGCAGTATTATGCACATGGAGGCCTCGTGCCATCTGAATCAGGCCTACTACCTTCGGAGGAAAATAAGGCACGAGACGAAAGTACTTGATTACAAACAAAAAACATCGTATGAGGTGTACTAGAGCAGCTACATCAGGATGCAATATTTAGTTAAGGCTTAAAGATCCACTGGTTTGTGGCACACTAGTTTAGATGCAACTCTGAACACCGACATGTTTCGGTTGTCAATTCCTTAGAGTAGAGAGCAAGATCCGATTGATATGGAAAATTTTCATATATGCCGGTTCACCATGGTCCTAACAATATTTTCATAGAAAAAATAAGCCCCTAAATAAGTAACTTCTTATTTACCGTCAATAGTAACGCGTTTCTCACCCTCTAAACTGATGAACGATAACCTGTTGGGCAAATGGAACTCAGACTTGACTTACTGTATAACATGCATAATGATATGTTTTTCACGTATGCCTTTGGTGGATTCCAAAAACAAAAAAAAAAGTTTAGATGATGATTATTTTCACCAATTGGAGCAGACATCTGCTAGACTGCTACCGTGCTGTATGTGTTTTTGCCGCTTGAGAATGCTTACGGGTCAAAAGCATTCAGAACATTTAAGGATTCAAAGAGCAACTGCGGGTGCCGTTCTTCATGGAGGTCATCATATTAATGTGTTGGACCATCTGGAAGGCAAGAAATGACAAGATCTTCCGGCAGATTGATCAGAATCTTCAAATATCAAAGCAAAACTTCAGAGATGAGTTCCAGCTTTTACTGCTGCGAACAAAAAGAAGCTACCATCAAGGAATTGATCAATGGATTGCAGATTTAACTTAGCTTGGTTCCTTTCGGTGGTAACTTTGCTTTTTCTCATTTCATTTTTTTTAATCTTAACTCTCCCTCCCGGCTCTTAGTCCGTTTGTTCTGCACTTTTTGTTTTAGTTAACAAATATGTTGTAGGGGTGCAAACCCCTCCAGTTTTCCTCAAAAAAATGATGATGGGTATTAAAAAAATATGCAGATTTTCCTTAAAAAAATGCAGTTTGGATATTGTTTGTCCAGCAGTTTTGTGGACTTTATGGAAAACTACAAATCACATTATTACTTTTCAATACTAGTTGTACTGGAGAAGTTGTCAAGGTTTTATGAAAAAAAAATCATATAACTAGGGGTGGACCTGGCACTGAACCCCTTCTAAAACGCCATATAAATTCGCAGCTACGGAAAGTTGAAAAAAGGAAGAGCTACATGCAAAAGATGCCACTGGAACTCTGTTTTACTATATTATATACTCTCTCCATTCTAAATTATAAAATGTTTATATTTTTACTATGTATTTAGACATAATGTATATCTAAGTGCATAGCAAAATCTATGTATCTAGAAAAGTCAAAACTTTTTATAATTTGACATGGAGGGAATACTCTGCAACAGAGCTATATCACTGTATGTGCTTTTGCTGCTGCATTGGGAATTACGGAGCTATGTCCAAAGCAAAATTTTGACAAGTAACAAAATGTATGCAATTTGGATACTGTTCATCAAGCAGTTTTGTAGGCTTTACGGAGAAGTAGGAATCACAATTTTTTAGTATCAGTTGTACACTTGTACCGGAGCAGTTGTCAAGCTTATTTTAGAAAAAACCATATAAAGGCTTATAAGTTGGCAACTAATATTCAGGACTCCATGTAAATTAACTAAGATAGATCTGTTCACTGACCAGTGTGCCTGAACATATCATTGGAGGCACCTGTACAAAGAGCAGGAAAGATCTCAACATGGAAGGAAAGCTGATACCATGGAAGCACTCATGGAGAAGAATATTTTAATGGTGACACAAGACAGATGTGATGTAAAGGCTCCAATAGCAAACCTACTAAAGCCTGAATGTTCTTTTATGGTCTCAAACTATGTTCATTTTGTAAAAACTGTAGGCTGTCCAGACTTACTTTACCAAGAGAGCTTAATTGCAGCTGTCTGAACTCTCTCATTCTAAAGTAGTAACTAGGTAAAAGTATTAATTTCCTGTTAGCTAAGAAAGTTTGCCCCCAACCGAGAGACATAGTAGACAAAGTCACAAAGCACAATGCCAGAAGGAAAATTAGTTTTGCAGTCGCAAATAATTGCAGTTGAAATATCAGTTATATACAAAACATTTTTTTCCTTCTTCCATAACTGAACCCAGGATCTAATTTTTGTTAGTCACCGGATTCAAATACCCCTAAATGACGAGTCCCTCATATATGTTATGCTTAGAATCTTAATCTATGACTCTTTTATGCATGATTAAGCCGCCGCCATATATACCTAATCAGAGATCCCGTACGCATAATTGATGCATAAATTCTCCTCATTTTTCTGAGTAGCACGTGAATTTTACACCCTTATTTCTGCAATCAACTGGACAAATTTCTATATCTCCCCCTCCAATCGATCAATACGCACCGGAATCACAGCAGAGCACCTAGCACTTAGATCTGATCTCAACCGCTGTCCGCTGCAAGAGAGATTCCTGTTTCCTGACATATTAAAAAATGGATTCATAAGGCCCTCGCACAGTGTGGGAAAAAACCAACGGTAGACAGGAGCATGCAATGCAACAGATCATGATCGGTATAAACTAAATCCAGCCATCCAGGCCAAACGTCTACTTGCACTGAAACTAAGTGGCCTTAGATCTGAAGGGAGAAGCGAACAAACAACTGCGTCAAGAAAATGGTTTTCTTGCTGCTCCCCTTCCATGTCCATGGCAGCTGTTGATGCTTGGCTGCGTGCCCAAGGCAGATCCGATCATTGCAACTGCGCGACCCACTTGCGTGGTTGCTCCAGATAAAAAACGGAAGGAGAGACAAACTCGTCTGGTTTCCATCTTCCAATCCTCCTTCGCCGATGCGCAGGGGGCAGCGCTGGTAGCTCACTTTCACAGCGCACAACGACGCACCCAGCCAATTGCATATGCCCAGTAGAATGAAGTTACAGAACCAGCAGCTAACTAATCAGCCACAGAGAGGCACAGACGGTGATGGGTAACTAAACAGCGCTAGCTCCAGCCTCGCTCTACTTGCCGTACGTAGCGCACTGCACCACGACGTGCACTCACGTGAATTCCGGCCGTTGCGTTGCGGGCAGCTAGCTCGCAGCGGCACATGGGCGGGGCTCGATCTGTGCCTGTGCTCACTGTTCACTGTCCATGGTCCACGTTTTCTGCATGAGCTTGTAGTTTTGTCTGTACACACCGCCGGATCGAGCGATCCATCGGCCACAGCTCGCACACGTTGCCGCCTCCTATATAAGCGTTGCTCCTGTCTTCCTCCCGTCGTGCCCCACTACACTGCCTGAAGTGTCAGTGTCCCCACCTTCCTCTGGTCTTGGCAAGCAGTTAGCTAGGGGGGACCTCACCAGCTCGGCATGGCTTCACCGCCGCCGGCAGACGGTGCCAATGGTGGCCTCACTGACCCACTTCTAGTGAGCGCGAACGGCCACGGTGCCTCCCCGAGGAATGCTGCCCACGGCGCCAAGGGCAAGTACTGGGTGGCCTCCGACAAGGCCGAGAGGCGGGCTGCCAAGGAGGCCGGCGGAGAGGACGGCCGCGCGCTGCTGTTCCGGAAGTATAAGGTCAAAGGCTCCCTCCTGCACCCCTACAGGTAAAGCCAGCTCATTAGCATGGCATATTTTTGCTTAATTATTTACAGTTCACGTTATAAACAGGCTGTATATTTTTGCTTTGGAAACGCGCATTTCCTAGTAGTTGCTTGTTAGACTTTGCCTGCATAGATCCTACTGGCTTAATAAATTCGCCAGCAAAATTTTCTTTAGTGGACAACTGTTGACCAGAGACTCCACCGGGGGCTCATCATCTTCCAAGCGCTAATAATATACTAATATGGATTGCCAAAAGGAGATGAAAGGATCTTGCAGGAGGATTGCTATTTCCTATTCTGGTCACATACTCACACTCACACGAGAGAGCGTAGCTTGCATTTCTATGGCTTGAGACCTGACGACATGTCTTCATGTTACAGGTTGCTGATCATCATCCGATTAATCGCTGTCCTCGTCTTCTTCGCATGGCGCATCAGGCACAACAAATCTGATATCATGTGGTTTTGGACAATGTCCATCGTCGGCGACGTCTGGTTCGGCTTCTCGTGGCTCCTCAACCAACTCCCAAAGTTCAACCCCGTCAAGACCATCCCAGACCTTGCCGCCCTCAAGCGGTACTTTGACTTCTCTGAAGGCACCTCTAGGCTCCCCGGCATTGACGTTTTCGTTACCACAGCCGACCCCATTGATGAGCCCATACTCTACACCATGAATTGTGTCCTCTCCATCCTCGCTGTTGACTACCCAGTCGACAGGCTTGCCTGCTATCTCTCAGATGATAGCGGGGCACTGATTCTCTATGAAGCATTGGTCGAGGTCGGAAAATTTGCGCCTCTATGGGTTCCATTCTGCCGCAAGTACTCCATTGAGCCAAGGGCACCAGAAAGCTATTTTGAGCATGTGGCGCCACCGCAGGCTGGAAGGGTGACGCAGGAGTTCTTGAATGATTATAGGAAGGTGCAAATGGAGTATGATGAGTTCAAGGTGCGCTTGGACAACCTCCCTGATGCCATCCGTAAGAGATCTGATGTTTATAATAGCATGAGAGCTGCAGATGGAGATCAAAAGGCAACTTGGATGGCAAATGGGGCTCAATGGCCCGGCACATGGATTGATCCAACAGAAAACCATAGAAAAGGACACCATGCTCCAATCGCCAAGGTACTGAAGTTCAGATTTGTTGTTGTTAAAATTCAGAAAATGAGAAACTCATGCAATCCACTTACTTCTTGCATCGGGAATATTTAACCTCTTCATAACCACTGATGGTTTCATTCCTTCTTTAACAGGTTGTGCTGAACCATCCAAGCAGTGGACAACATCATGGTTCACAACCCATCACTGAAAGCAATCCCAGCATTGGCACCACTGACGAGCGCCTGCCAATGCTTGTTTATGTCTCTCGTGAGAAGAACCCAAGTTGTGACCACAACAAGAAGGCAGGTGCCCTGAATGCACAACTGCGGGCCTCTGCTCTCCTCTCTAATGCACAACTCGTCATCAACTTTGACTGCGACCACTACATCAACAATTCTCAAGCCCTAAGCTCGGCTGTGTGCTTCATGCTAGATCAACGAGATGGTGATAACACCGCTTTTGTTCAGTTCCCACAGCGCTTCGACAATGTTGACCCCACGGACCGCTACGGTAACCACAATCGTGTCTTCTTTGATGGGACCATGCTTGCCCTTAATGGTTTGCAAGGACCCTCATACCTCGGCACTGGTTGCATGTTCCGTCGCTTAGCACTCTATGGTATTGACCCACCCCACTGTAGAGCAGAAAACATCGCAGCCGAAGCTATCAGGCTTGGTAACTCCACAATCTTCCTAGATTCAGTGTCAAAAGCCCTAAAAAATGACAGGTCAATCACACCACCACCAATTGATGACACATTCCTCGCTGAGTTAGAGAGGGTTGTGACATGTTCTTATGACAAAGGTACTGACTGGGGCAAGGGTGTAGGGTACATCTATGACATAGCCACTGAAGATATAGTAACTGGATTTCGCATCCACGGGCAGGGGTGGCGCTCTATGTATTGCACAATGGAGCATGACGCGTTCTGTGGCGTTGCACCAATCAATCTAACTGAACGCCTCCATCAAATTGTGCGATGGTCAGGTGGGTCTTTAGAGATGTTCTTCTCCCACAACAACCCATTCATAGGTGGTCACCGGATTCAACCCCTTCAGCGTGTCTCCTACCTCAACATGACAGTCTACCCAGTCACATCAGTCTTCATCCTGATCTATGCTCTAAGCCCGGTGATGTGGCTTATCCCCGATGAAGTATACATCCAGAGACCATTCACTAGGTATGTCGTGTACCTTCTCGTAATCATAGTGATGATTCACATGATTGGCTGGCTTGAGATAAAGTGGGCGGGGGTCACATGGCTAGACTATTGGCGCAATGAGCAGTTCTTTATGATCGGCTCAACAAGTGCATATCCAATGGCAGTGCTGCACATGGCAGTGAACCTCCTCACAAAGAAGGGCATACACTTCAGGGTCACTTCCAAGCAAACAGCCGCAGATGACAATGACAAGTTTGCTGACTTGTACGATTTTAGATGGGTGCCAATGCTCATCCCAACAATGGCAGTTCTGATCTGCAATGTTGGCGCCATTGGTGTAGCCCTGGGCAAAACAGTGGTATACATTGGAACATGGACAGCGGCAAAGAAGATGCATGCAGCATTGGGTTTGTTGTTCAACATATGGATCATGTTTCTCCTCTACCCATTTGCACTAGCGATCATGGGGCGGTGGGCGAAGAGGCCAATCATCCTTGTAGTCTTGCTGCCGGTTGTCTTTGCACTTGTTGCGCTGTTGTATGTAGGTGTCCATATCTTACTTGCTGGTGTAATTCCATTCTAGGTGGTATAGAAAACATTGTAATTTCTTGTGTAGTTACCAAGGAACCAATTATGTTCCTTTGTATCAAATAAACGTTGTATTCATACATCGTAATAATACAGATTAATCCTAATTAAATTCAGACCATTTGGATTTTGGCCCCATACAACCCAACTCAGCTTTGCAACATCTACATGGTAAAAGTACAATTTCGGTATTGATGTTTAGGGTTATTGACGTTAGGCTTTAATTTCCCTACCACCAATGACTTCTGATATGATTGGAAATGCATAATATCTTACTGGTCCTAATTCATCCCTACTATTGTCCTAGTATTCAGCTTTTAACAACACACTTTTTTTTTGAAGACTTCACCGGAGGGGGGAGAGCCCCACCTGAATGATTTTCCATAGATTCCGGCAAGCTGGTAAATGGAGGTGCCGGGCACCTAGAGTTTACATGGTCTTAATCGTCTGAGCATTAATTCATGAAAAATAAATTACACGATACCATCGGCAATGGAACGGTCTTGGGAACGGAAGGCGCATCGCTCCATAGGCTTACATGTTTCCTCGCAACTGCATGTCTGAGGCGGCTCGAGATGGGGTTGTTGATGGCGAAAGACGACGTCGTGGCGATGGTTCCAAATCTGCCAGCAACACAGTAGTATCATCATCAGGAAGTGCTTAGCCGGGATATGTGGTGGCCGTGGCATCTCCCATAGGTGAGTTGGCTCCAGAAGGTTGACCCCAGTCCAGCCAATATGATTCCAGAAAGCCAAAGGAACCAGGAAGCGAAAGATGAGGTGATCGACAGTCTCTGCCGCATTACCACAGAGTTGGCAAATGTCGTCGTCGAGGACATGCTTGAGGTGGAGGTTGTAGCGGCACTGTATGCGGTTGTTTACCAATAACCACCAAAAAAACGTACCACAGGCGCTCAGTTTCTCCAAACGAAGCTAGAGAAATTGCATGGGGAGCCCATGGTCTTGGATGCCTGATACACGGCTGAAGCATGGAGAGTTCCCAGCTGGCCGGCAAATTTGGAATATCTGCTGTCCGGAGCTTGTGTTAAAGTGATGTTGCTTGATCATTTCATTGAGGGCATGCAGCTCTTCACTTGCTTGGGGTGACAGCACTGAGACCAACATCGGTTGCAAACCGATGTGAGGACCCGGAGGCGAGAGGCATCCGGCTTCGTGCGATGGGAGAAAAGACAGGGAAGAAGAGCGAGCGAGAGGCGAACCATCAAACCAAGAGTCATGCCGGAAGGACGTAGTTCGCCGTCGCCCAATTTGCACCTTGGTGATACACGGTAAGCTGGTAGCAAGGATCCGAGGGCCGACCGATGGATCGCCATCACCATGGTCGGACATGTTGAGGATGTCTTTGTGCTCTCTGACCCAAGCAGCCCAAGCTGACTGTTCAGGATGGTGAAGACGGTGGAGAAGCTTCAAAAGGAGGCAAGCATTTTGAGTGGCAAGGTCCTTTACCCCGAGGTCTCCTTCCAAGGAAGGCCGCTGAACATCGTCCCACTTGACCAGGCATTTTGCACCTGATGTCTTATCTTTGCCGGACCAAAGGAAAGCTCGTCGTCTGCTATCAATGGCCGAGATGATTCCCGGGGGCAGCGCGAGAGCCTGCATCATATAGGTGGCCAGACCGTCTAGAACTGAGTTGATGAGAACAAGTCTGCTTTGGTGGTTGAGCAGCGCAGCCTGCCACCCAGAGAGCCGCCGGTCGACCTTGGAGATCAAGGGCGCGAAGGCGGCGAGGTTAAGCTTGACATTTGAGAGTGGTAAGCCAAGGTACACATGAGGAAAGCTTGCTTGCTGGCACTGGAGGAGCCGGACGATCCGTTCCAAGCGGTCTTGCGGTACGTGCATAGGCACAAGCGTGCTCTTGGAGTAATTGATCTTGAGACCAATGGCCATGGCAAAGCTATCCAAAGTAACTTTGAGTCCGTCACTGACTTCTTGCAGAACTTTAGTTCAGCAATATTTAATTTTTGTGCTGCTTGTTACAGCAATGTCACCACTGAAGGTTTTGTTCCTTCTTTAACAGGTTGTGCTGGATCATCCAAGCCATGGACAGCATCATGGTTCACAACCCATTACTGAAAGCAATCTCAACATTGGCACCACTGATGAGCGCCTCCCAATGCTTGTTTATGTCTCTCGTGAGAAGAACCCAAGTTATGACCACAACAAGAAGGCAGGTGCCCTGAATGCACAACTGCGGGCCTCTGCTCTCCTCTCTAATGCACAACTCGTCATCAACTTTGACTGCGACCACTACATCAACAATTCTCAAGCCCTAAGCTCGGCTGTGTGCTTCATGCTAGATCAACGAGATGGTGATAACACCGCTTTTGTTCAGTTCCCACAGCGCTTCGACAATGTTGACCCCACGGACCGCTACGGTAACCACAATCGTGTCTTCTTTGATGGGACCATGCTTGCCCTTAATGGTTTGCAAGGACCCTCATACCTCGGCACTGGTTGCATGTTCCGTCGCTTAGCACTCTATGGTATTGACCCACCCCACTGTAGAGCAGAAAACATCGCAGCCGAAGCTATCAGGCTTGGTAACTCCACAATCTTCCTAGATTCAGTGTCAAAAGCCCTAAAAAATGACAGGTCAATCACACCACCACCAATTGATGACACATTCCTCGCTGAGTTAGAGAGGGTTGTGACATGTTCTTATGACAAAGGTACTGACTGGGGCAAGGGTGTAGGGTACATCTATGACATAGCCACTGAAGATATAGTAACAGGATTTCGCATCCACGGGCAGGGGTGGCGCTCTATGTATTGCACAATGGAGCATGATGCGTTCTGTGGCGTTGCACCAATCAACCTAACTGAACGCCTCCATCAAATTGTGCGTTGGTCTGGTGGGTCTTTAGAGATGTTCTTCTCCCACAACAACCCATTCATTGGTGGTCGCCGGATTCAACCTCTTCAGCGTGTCTCCTACCTCAACATGACAGTCTACCCAGTCACATCAGTCTTCATCCTGATCTATGCTCTAAGCCCGGTGATGTGGCTTATCCCTGATGAAGTATACATCCAGAGACCATTCACTCGGTATGTTGTGTACCTTCTCATAATTGTCGTGATGATTCACGTGATTGGCTGGCTTGAGATGAAGTGGGCGGGGGTCACATGGCTGGACTATTGGCGCAATGAGCAGTTCTTTATGATCGGCTCAACGAGTGCATATCCAATGGCAGTGCTGCACATGGCAGTGAACCTCCTCACAAAGAAGGGCATACACTTCAGGGTCACTTCCAAGCAAACAGCCGCGGACGACAATGACAAGTTTGCCGACTTGTACGATTTTCGATGGGTGCCAATGCTCATCCCAACAATGGCAGTTATGATCTGCAATGTTGGTGCCATTGGTGTAGCCCTGGGCAAAATAGTGGTAAACATTGAAACATGGACAGCGGCGAAGAAGATGCATGCAGCATTGGGTCTGTTGTTCAACATATGGATCATGTTTCTCCTCTACCCATTTGCACTAGCGATCATGGGGCGGTGGGCGAAGAGGCCAATCATCCTTGTAATCTTGTTGCCAGTTGTCTTTGTACTTGTTGCCCTTTTGTATGTAGGTCTCCATGTCTTACTTGCCGGTGTAATTCCACTCTAGGCGATATAGAAAACAATGTAATTCCTTGTGTCGTTACCAAGGAGCCAATTATTTTCCTTTGCATCAATAAACACTGTATTCTTACTTCGTAATAATATAGAATAATCCTGATTAAATTCAGACTATTTGGATTTTCGCTCCGTACAGCTTCAGCTATGCAATATTGACTACAGGGTAAAAGTACAATGTCGCTATTGATGTTAGGCTTTAATTATTCACCAATGACTTATAAGTCATGATATGGTGCGCTTATCTTAAAAGGATACAATCAATTGTTTTTTGTCCGAGCTTGCATTTTTTATTAATTGGTGCACTAGCCATGGCCAAACAGCCCCACGTACACAAGTTACTGGGGTGATGATTTCCTTCTTTTCCATCCTTCATAGGGGGTCATGTCACTATTTTTAGTGATAACTCTATTTAGAATAAGACATGTTGTTAACACAACCTCCCACCACCATGCCTTTGCCATACCATACGTTTCTAACATGGCATTCACCAAGACCACTAACGTTCGGTTCTTTCTTTCGGCAACCACATTAAATTAAGGCGAATATGGATGTGTTCGTTCATGAATTATTCAATTCTCGAAATAGAAAAGATCAAACTCATTGGAAAAATACTCCCCGCCACGATCAAACCTAACACATTTTATCTTCTTTTCTAATTGATTTTCCACCTTAGCTTTGTAAGTCTTAAAACATTATGGCGCCTCATCTTTAGTTTTTAGAACACATAACAATACCTAGTTGCATCATCAATCAAAGTCATAAAGTATCTTTTTCCTCCTTTTATCAACACACCATTCATCCTCCTTTTATCAACACACCATTCATCTCACAAATATCAGAATGTATGAGTTCTAATAATGTCGTGTGCCTCTCATCTACAGTCTTGTGTGGCTTACGAGGTTGCTTTGCTTGCACACATGCTTGACATTTAGAACCTTTGATGACAGAAAAATCAAGAATTAAACTCATACCGGATAGATGCGACATACAACCAAAATTAATGTGACACAAACGAGAATGTCATACATCAGCGACAGAATTGTCTGAATAAAAACATGGTTCACCACTTTATTACAGAAATTAGAAAGTGAAAAAACAGAACAAGCCTCCACTATCATAGCCTTTGCCAATAAATTGGAAAGTGATTTTATTTCACTTTGGTTATCAACAAACTTAGTAGTAAAATTCTGTTCATCTATGTCGAGTTTAACAATATGCACTTTTACTTGAATTGAGTAAATAACTAAATATCTGAATAGAAATTCGAATCTGAGGCATTCATTTTGTATTCCTATTGGAAAGATCTATATCCATATTTGGAGCATAATCTAAATTAATTAAAATACAGTAAAAGGTTTAGATGATGATTATTTGCGTCAATTGGAGACAACTGCTACCGTCCTGTACGTGCTTTTGCTGCTTCCCCCTTGGGAATGATTACGAGTCGAAAGCAGAAATTTTAAATGATGCAGATTTCCCAGGGCCTATTTGGGTCCTTGGAATTGAATTCATTTAATAATCATAATTTAGACACATATTAATTAAACTAATATAATTGTATATATATTATATTTGTATATTATAGTTGGCTATACGAGAGAGATACTTATTTGTTGCATTTCTACCATAGGGGATGTAAGAGCTCCATCGTGGGAGGGCCCTAGGGGGTGGCGGCTAGGGTTTGGGGAGGTGTGGGCGTCGGCTATGAGGGAGGGAGGCGGTGGAGAGAGAGAGAGAGAGAGAGAGGAGAGGGAGAGAGAGAGAGAACATGCGGCGCAGGGAGAGAGGGAGGGAGGATGCGATAAGCCTGAGGCTATTACTTCTTGATCTCAATGATTACATAGCCTTTTTATTTATAGTCCTGAGTAGACTTGTATCCTAAGTAATATAATGAGGGAAGTCTTTATAGATATGGACTCCTCCCAATCTATCTAATCTCGACCGATCCTATTCCTATTCTCTTTCCTTTATTGAAGATCCTCCTGGTATGGATAGTGGAGTGGCGGGAGATCTCCCGCCCTTGCCGTGCACGCCTTCCCCAAGGCGGCGCTGCTGCTCCTGGCGGCGGCGGCTGCTCCCCTTGGTGGCTGGGCCAGATGGGCCGCCAGCCCCCGTTAGGCGTATGACATTACTCCCCCCTTCTTTGATCATCGTGTCCTGGCGCTGAATCAATGTCCAATCCTTGATGCCTTCTGGTGGTGGTCTGGTTCCCTAGGGTATCTCTGCAATTTGAACCATGAGGTGGCCTAGAGTGTCATTAAAGTTGTTGGTGTTGATGTGGTAGTCGGAGAACTGGAAGTAGTAGCTGCAGGAGCCAAAGTAGTCAGAGATGTAGTAGTTGTTGGTTCCTAAGCCTTCCATTGGTTCATGGACACAACGTACTGCATGGATGGTGGCGCCTGGAAGTGTTCCTGGGAAGTGTAGCGTTTGCATGACCCGTGGAGGTCATGAAAACAAGTGTACCTAGCCTGCATCAACTTGCCCCATTATGCGCCTGCAAAATGCTGTCGCCACGATGGATGGTAGTGCTGTGGTGAAGTGTTGTAGTGTGCCAAAGAGGAGGTCGCCCGTGTTGTAGTTGGCCAAGGAGACTAGCGGGTGCCCGTCGGCATGCTGCCTGCTGATGTAGACGTCGTCGATAGAAAGGAATTGTTGGCCATTGTTGTCGAAGAAAACGATCGTTGCTGATGGTAGTATGCGTTGTGGCCATTCTTCGAGTAGTAGGATGCTCGAGGGGAACACTTGTGTTGTCGGTGTAGATGTCGCTGTGTGGAGACCAATGGCTAGGAGATGCGGTGATGTAGTTTCGAGCGACTCGAGCATGTCCTATAGCAGAGGCGAAGTCAGCGGGATGTAGTATCGTTCGTTGTAGCGGACGGTGCCGTGTTGGAGGGACCAAGCTGGTGCTACTGCCTGGACTTCAATGGTGGCAAAGATGATCTAGAGTTCATGCTCGTCCGTGGAGGCAAGGAGGAGCTAGGCGAGGATCTCTTGGTCCGGTTCGATGTGGGCAGCTTCTATGGTGGTGTCATCGGCTGATGGAGGAAGTGCTATTGCTAGGGTGTTCGGTGATGTTGGGGCTGTCCCCGAAAGTGGGGGTGATGGCTCCTTGTCCGTCTTGGTGTTGGGGATGTTGGTGTCTCGTCGTGGTGTGTGGTTGGAGTCGTTATCAATGACGGGGGTGGTTCACCCTACGTCGGTGGAGGTAGGCGCTGGGTGCTCTAGGGTACAAGCAAGGTCGAAGGCCGTCACCATCGCGCTTGGGTGGTGGCGTGTGACCGCCACTCGGAGTGCATCCTAAAGGCCGGTGACGAAGAGGCTGACTTGGTGTTGTTCACTGGTGATGCCAACGTGTAGAGTGTAGGCGATGAAGGTGTTGATGTAATCGTTCACAGTGCCAACATGCCGAGGCGGTGCGAGGTCGCTGGAGGTGTCGAGGCTGAAGTTGCGGATGAGACTCTGGGAGAAGAGCGACCACTCGGTCATAGGTGCATCCTTCGTCGTGCGCATGAACCATCGATGTGCTGCACCTGTTAGATGGAAAGCTGCGTACCAAGTTTGTTGAGTCTCCGGTAGGCGGTGCAAGTTGGAGATCTGCTGTATCCCCCAAAGCCAAGGCCTCGGGTCCATCAAGCCATCGTATGTTGGGGTTGTGAGTTGTGCCTTAACAGGTAAGTGTTGTCGCGGTGGTGCTGGCATTGTTGGCGGAGTTGGAGACGGTGGTGTTCTGAGCGCATCAACCCTCTATGTCGGCGGCCAGGTGGCCGGCTGCTGCTATGATGTTGGTGGCGCCTTGGTCCGCTGGGTGGCCGCGGAGCTGGCTAGGCGCCGTCTAAGCGTGGAGGCACTCGACTGTTGGTGCCGAGCTGTTGGTGGAGTCGTCGTCGGTGGTGTTGTCGGGCTAGGCTTCGGCTGGGTGACAGCCAACTCTTGCTGGATAGCCGAGAGTTGGTGTTGAGTTGCCGGTGGGGTCGCTGTTGGTGGTGTTCCAGGCGACGGCTCTCGCTGGCTATCGACCGGAGCTTGGTGGGCAGTCCCACGGGTGACTGGAGGTTTGCCTAGTGGTGGGAAGAGCGGTGACATCGGTGGTTGCGGTGGTGGAGGAGCATTCGACGGCAAGGTGTCGTAGAATGCTAGGATGATCTCTGGGGTGCTAGAGGACTAGGGTTCGTCCATCTTCTACTTGAGGTATGATTTGTCGGCGGCGATCATGACACATTTGGTTTCTGCCGCAAGGTCGTCAATGGCAGCTTCCCGATCCAATCTGACTTGGACGCTGGTTATGGCGGCGTGGCTGTGGATGTGTGCCTGCTCAATGACGTGCAGACAGTTGTCGAGGTTGATGAGTTGGCGATGCATCTCTCCAAAGTTCTTGTGGAGATCGGCGGCGAAGTTCTCGATCAGCTGTTGCATGGTGGGGTTGGCGGAGTCCATGGATCATCTAGTTTCCGGATACCAGTGTAAGAGCCCCATCGTGGGAGGGCCCTAGGGGTGGCGGCTAGGGTTTGGGGAGGTGTGGGCGTCGGCTATGAGGGAGGGAGGGCGGCGGCGTAGAGAGAGAGAGAGAGAACAGGCGACACAGGGAGAGAGGGAGGGAGGAAGGGATAAGCCTGAGGCTATTACTTCTTGATCTCAATGATTATATAACATTTTTATTTATAGTCTTGAGTAGACTTATATCCTAAGTAATCTAATGAGGGAACTCCTTATAGATATGGACTCCTCCTAATCTATCTAATCTCGACCGATCCTATTCCTATTCTCTTTCCTTTATTGAAGATCCTCCTGGTATGATAGTGGAGCAGCGGGAGGCCTCCCGCCCTTGCCATGCGTGCCTTCCCCTAGGCAGCGCTGCTGCGGCCTTTGGCGGCTGGGCCAGATGGGCCGCCAGCCCTAGTTAGGCGTATGACAGGGGAGCAAGTTGAAGAGCGTGTTATAAGTTGTAAAGTAAAAACATAGAATGGTGATATGTAGAATCAATTTTCATGT